GCCAGCGGCGCAGGGACAGTCGCCGTCTGCGCTGGAGCTGCAGCTGACGGGGACAGGCGGCCGTGCTGGGGACACCTGGCCCTGAAATCCCCCAGGGGCGGGAAGGCGCCGGGTTCCCCTGGGAATGCCGGGGATGGCACAGCACTGAGCAGTGCGTTTGCGTCTCCCTTCGCCTGTTCAGCCTTTGCTTTCTCTTTCAGAGAACTGTTATCAAGTGATGCAATGAAAGACTACAACAGAGCTCGAGTTTACCTGGATGAGAACTATAAATCACAGGAACATTTCACGGTAAATTTCTTTATTTCATCAGTGTAGTTCAACCAAAGGTGAATTTCTTCTCTTTGGGATTTTTGACCCGTGAGCTGTTTCCATCCTGATGATGATTATGTTTTTACTACTATTGTGTTTTACTGCTGAGAGTGTTTATTCTGTGGCATGTGTACATGCTGATTTCACAGAGGTGTATCTATGTAAAATGAGCAGAATATCAGTGTGCAGACAGTCTTTTGTTTAAAATGGTTTTCAGAGGTCTTTTTTCCTTAACTCACTAACTTTGGTGGCCCAGAATCACCTTGCATTTCAGAGCCTGGCAGTGTGTGGCAGTGCGAGCTGGTGATGAGCTTGGCAAGGCTCAGGTTCTCCAGGGCTGGCTCACAGCCTCGCTGGCCTGAGGCGAGGTGACAGCAGCCAGAGCACAAGTTTGCATTAGCACACGAGGGGTGTTAGGTGTGTGTAAAATGATGTGTGGGGCTGCCTTTCCTGCACAGCAGAAGGGCTGGTGTGGCTGTGCCAGGGCTGTGCACTGTGCCAACACCTCTGCTGCTTGTCCAAGTGATCACTGCTGGATTGCACAGGAAAAAAACCCTTTGGGGGTGAATCAGTGACATCTCCCTCCTTCCCAGGGCAGAAGTTTCCTTCTCCCCCAGTATGCTGCTCAGTGGCAGTGGTGGCTCAGAGGAGCCTGGCTGGAGAGCTCTGGTGCTGCCTGGCAGCCAAAGACAGCACCTGGGACACAGTTCAGACAGGGAAAAAACAGCTGCTACACACAGACCCCAGCCTGGAGGCATATAACAACCTGGAAAGGTTTCTATTTCTTCATTTTTGAAGTAACTCTGGCTAGAAGCCCAGCTAAGATGAAACTGGAGGAGAGGAATCAGTGAATTTTTTTCCTCTTGCTCATCATAAAAACAAGAATATCAGCTTTACTGAGCCTTAGTGGGACAAACCTCAGTCACTGATGTTGAAACTGCACTCTGCAGATGGTCAGAAAGTGCTGGTAGGTAAAAGCAGCAGGACAGAGCTGCGTGTTTTGAGTCAGTCACAGGTCAGAGCTGCATCCAGATGATCCCACACACTGGAGACCCTGTGGGGGTCCTACAGCACAGATCTCCTGATGTGGGCAAGGGAGCTGCAAGGAGCTCTGCATTTTCCTGAACTGCCTTCAGCCAGGTGAGCTCCAGAGCTGCCTTCCAGCCATTACTTTTCTGTAATACAGGAAAAAGGGATAATTATCTGTGGTCTTAATTTGGGAAACAGCATAGAAGACTAATCCATAACAAAATACAGCTTTTGTTTTGTGTTTAAGATCACAGTAGTTCATAGTATTGAAATAATTTTATTTAGCATGAGGTACATTGATTTGACTTGATGGCATTATGGTGGATAAAAAGGCTCTTACAGAAGTTAAACAGGAATCCCAGTTAGGGCATGTGCTGTTTGTGTTTCTGTGAAGAACCCTGTATTTTGCAAAGTTCCCAGTTCAAGAACTGATGTGGTTTCCTGTTTCACATACAGCATTATTTTCTAGGCACCGTGTTTCTTGCAGTATCCCCAAACCACCTTTGTATTTTTCCATTTCTTCTCATAATTAATACTTCACTTTTTCTTTTCTTCTAATCCATTATTTACTAAAATCCATTATTTACTAAAGCTGGGCCTTCCAGGGGAAAAATGTTCTGTCAACATACTGATTCAATAAAGGGGAAGGGAAAACAAGACACCTAGTACCAATGTTATTTTCCATGGAAATAGTGTAACCAAAACCATCTCCTTATTGTTTGGTTAAATTACCCACTCTTGAAGTGTTGACTGCAAAGATACAAAATGGATTTACAGAAGTGTTTGATGTGTACTTCACCATAGGCTGCCTGTAACCCTTAAGAACCTTTTAGAGCTGAATCTGCTTAGTGTGGAAAAGGCAGAACCCAAAGGAAGAGCAATTATTCAGTGTTGTTTTGTGTTACAGTCACAGGGGGAAATGCTGTGTGCTAGAGGAGTTTTATACCTTCACTGTTAGACTGTAGCAGCAGTGGCTTGGAACCAAAGCCCAAAAACCTGGAAAGGAGAGAGGGTGCACTTGAGCTCCTTAACCTTCTGACTTGTTGGAGTCTGCTTTTTGGTGCTGAATGCCCACAGTCCTCACTGACAGTTCCTGGCACTGCTGTCAGGGATCAAAGATTCATGGAAATGGTTTTTCACACGTGTGATTTGAACTGGCAGATCTCCTCTGCTCAGTGTGTGTGTGTGTGTGACTGTGTGAGCAGGAGTTCCACATGTGGTGTGTCCATTTAGGGTAAAGTTCTGGGCTTATCTCCAGTGTGGTTTGCCTTGTATGATGTCATGTCTCTGTGTTTCCTTCTTAGTTCTGTTTGATTGCAAAGTTCTGTAACTTCTGTGGGCTTTTTTCCATCCCTTGTAAGGCACAGACTTGGCAGCAGATGGTAGCTTTCTCGTTATATTGTTACCTCTCTGAAATATAAATGTTTAACATATATATATATTTTTGTATAATGCTATTTGCTTTAGAAAGGGAGAAGCCCCAGTAGTTACAGTTTGGCTAACCTTTATCCCTGCTGCTCTCACATCCCCTTTTTTACCAGTTTTGGCATCACTTCCTCTGTAAGGGTTTCCTTGGCTTGGCTCCTGCAAAACTAAAGCAGATTTTGCTGCCCATAGTTACTCAGCTTGGCTGTGATAGGACTGGCAGAGATCCGAGGCTGCACTGTCAGCAGCTCACAGCAGCACAGGTGCAAATTCCACATGAGAAATAAGAAACCAGCGCAATAATGAGGTGTCTCTAGTGGAGCGACTTAGATTTAAAAAGTAATAATCCACATTAAAGGATCAATATGGATTATTTTGCATCATCCCAGACACAAAGCTTAATATCAGGATTTGTCATTTATGGTCACACACACCAAGTGTGGTGTAGGAGCAGCTGGTTTTAGGTCTGGGGTTTGTGGGGAGCGGGGTAGGCGCTGTGGTTCAGTGATCGTGTTTGTTCTGCCAGGAATGGTGGGAGGGTGATGCTGTGCGGGATTTTCTTCTGCTCAAAACTTGCTAAACACATGCAGAGAATAAAGGCCAGAGCAGTGAGTGCCAGGCTGGGGAAGGTCCCTGTCCCAGGGAAGGGGCTCAGCTGGCAGGGGCCGAGGGGCTGGGGGTGGCAGCTTTGGCCCGGGGCTCCCCAGGCGCTGGGAGCAGCAGGGCTGGCAGGGGCACACGGGGACAGAGCAGCTGGTGTCACACTTGGGAGAGGCACAGCTTTATCAGACTGAAAAATGAACTGAAGATGAATCTCTTGGCAGAGAACTGCTGCAGTAGAGCTGATGCCTGTCAGTGCTGGGAAGGTGGAGGAGCTGGAGCTCAGAGCTTCCAGCAGTTATGGATGAAGGTGGTGGGTGACAGCCTCTGCAGTGGCTTCCCAGAAATTTCAGATTAACTAACTGGCAGCTGTGCTGCTGTTCCAGTTCTGTGGAAATACCAATAGCGGTCCAGTGTGGATAAACAGGCTCATGTGCTAAATTTCAGACATTCAAATAATTTGACAAAGCTTTGTGAAACACAGCCTCCTGTAAATCCCTGTTGGAAAGCATGGAACTTTCTTTTGTTGCATTAAATTTTATGTAGGGGGTAGATCTTGATTTCTGTCACAGAATGTACAATTAATGAAAAGACAGATATAAGAAGACTGAAACAGGTAAAAATCTGAGAAGCTGAAAAATTCAGTACATTGCATTTATTTGTGACTATACTGAATGGACTTCACTTGTAATAAAGTAGGTCTTTGCAGTTCCATTGATTTTACCAAACATCCCATTATTTACATTCTCTGCTAATTTTGTTGTGCTGGGTATATTTCACGTAAGGGGTAAATTATAAATCTTGTCACTTTTCTAAGTGAATTACTCAAAAATAGTTGGGTGTGCTGAACTTTTGCTTGTCAATACTTCTTGAATAATCAAAGTTAATGGTGAATAAGGGTTTTTTTTCTGGAATAAGAAAATGTACTGAAGGTAAATATCAGTCAGAAATACATTGATGTTTTCATCAAATCTGTAAGTATTTTTATATGAAAACATGTCAGTATAATCAGTGACATTTTTATTGTAATTAGATCAAGTCTAGTTTTGTTTTGTGCCATGTATTTATTGATTTCTGGAGTACTCAGTTAAGGTCATACATTGCTTAGCAAATCCTTGGCTTCCTTTTCATTGTTCAGAGAAGGCAGAGGAAACTCCTGTGTGGCTTAAAGCCTTCTTGCTGTGTTGAACTCGTGGTTTCTGTAGCTTGAGGGAGAATCTTTCCTGGAGCAGGTCAATCCTGAGGCTCCAACAAGCCAGAGCTCCAGGGGCCTGGAGGTTGAGGGAGCCTGTGGGGAGCTGTGTGGTTGGCACAGCCCTTAGCTGATGGGCAGAAGCATCTGCACACTGGGGAAATTGCTCTACTTCCCAGTACAGGTTTCTTATTTAAAGAGCCCTCTATTGTCTGTGTGCCTGCTCAGGCCCACAGGTGACCTTGAAATGGACAAATGCCACTGGGCTCTTCATGTGCCTTGCTGAAGTTCCAGCCTCCTCCTCCTCCTCCTCCTCCTCCTCCTCCTCCTCCTCCTCCT